GAGGCGCAAACCTTAGCACTGCCAGGACACACACACCCACCCCCATGGATTTTGACTTTATCTTACTCAGCCCACTATTCAGATCTTGTTGCGGAGTCAGGAAAAGGTAGGTCATAAAGCCTGACCCCAGGACACTCTGTGTGAGCACATAAGCCACACACACCCCCATTAGATTTCCACACACCACTGTGAGGAAGACTAACATAGGCTCAGAGATCACGACAGAGAATCAGCTACAGAGAAAAACATGGGGCTGGAGGAGCTGGTCACTGAAACAGAGCAGGGTCCCTGCAGTTCATGGGTCCAGCCCACTCCAGAGTGTCCACCACCCTCACCCCACCATGATACAAGCACCTCTGAAAAACAGCTTTTTTCAAGGCATCCTTGGTAACACATCAGGGTGCCTCACTGTGAAGCTGTCCACAGAGAGCAGCACCTTGGACAGCAACCATCCCAGCTTCACCCTTCCAGGGCTCAGGGCTCAGAAAAAACGGCAAAGGGCAGTCAGGCCAGAGATGGTGACGGAGGCAGTGACCCAGGGGCAGCTGCTTGGATTGGGAGCAGGTGAAGCCACAGTGAGATGGTGGCACAGGAAGAAAAACCCAGGAATGGGCAGAAGAAGTGAGGCTCTGTGGGGCTATAGCCCAGTGCGGGACTGTGAGTGTGAAGCCATTTCAGCAAAGAAAGCCAGGTCTCATGAATGGGAAAGGAAGCAACTCCCACCTCCCCTACTGGAAACCAAATGTGTCCCCACAAAATTGTTGAGGCCTTTATCTTTAATGTGATGGAATTTGGGGAAGGGGGTCTTTGTGAAGTACTTAGAGTAAGACTCTGTCATAAGGTGGAAGCTTCATGATAAAATTAATACCCTATAAAAAGACAAAAGCACAGGAGAATGTTATTTCTCATTCTCTGTCTCTCCAACCCTCCCAAGCCCCCATATGGGCAGATACAGCAAGAAAGCAGGCATCTGCAAGGGGTCCCACACCAGGACTACATCAGCTGGAGCCTTGACCTTGGACATCCCAGCCTTCAGAACTGTGAGAAATAGAGTTCTAGGCTGGGCGTTGTGGCTCACACCTGTAATCTCAGTACTTAGGGAGGCTGAGGCAGGCAGATCACGAGGTCACGAGTTTCAGACTAGCCTGTCCAACATGGTGAAACCCTGTCTCTACTAAAAATACAAAAATTCACAGGGCATGGTGGTGCACGCCTGTAATCCCAGCTACTCAGGAGGCTGAGGCAGGAGAATCGCTTGAACCCAGGAGGCAGAGGTTGCAGTGAGCCAAGATGGTGCCATTGCACTCCAGCCTGGGTAACAAGAGCAAAACTCTATCTCAAAAAATATATATATAGATAGATAGATAGATAGATAGATTTCTACTGTTTTAAGTCACCCAGGCTACAGTGTTTGTTATAGCAGCCCAAGACCAAGAATACATCATCTGACCCACCGTTTCAAAAAAAACTCTTCAGTTTCTTCATAAAGTTAGCTGGCAGTTCCTGTCCCCAGCAGCACCAGAGGCCCCAAGAAAAGAGCACCAGCAGGGGCTCCACCTGCACGGGTCCCATAAGGCAGCCTCAGTGTCAGGCCCTAGATGGCAGATGAGGCTCTAGTGACACAACCAAAGTGTAAAAGTTTAAGTGTTTTTACTACGTACAGACACTGGGGAGCATGCAGCACACCTGGAGACCACAGTCACAGAGATAAGGGAGCCCAGGCAGGGAAAAGAAAAGGGACCTGGGCCGGGTGTGGTGGCTCATGCCTGTATTCCCAGCACTTTGGGAGGCCGAGGTGGGAGGATCAGGAGGTCAAGAGATCAAGACCATGCTGGCCAACATGGTGAAACCCCATCTCTACTGAAAATACAAAAATTAGCTGGGCATGGTGACAGGTGCCTGTAGTCCCAGCTACTTGGAGGCTGAGGCAAGAGAATTGCTTGAACCTGG